GTGGGGTGCAGTGTTTAATTCAAATGAGGTGTAAGTAAGAATTTGTATGCTAATGATTTTCTTGTGCGGAGTAACTCCCACAGCCCCCTCTTTAGTCATCACTAAGAAGAAGTGGGTGGGAAGGAAACTATTTTTTCTCAGACCTTCATTAGGCCACCATCTTTTTTTATTTCATTCATTATGATGCCTACTGATATAACCTTCATGGCCTAATCATTAAGGTGTTGTCATGGTAAAACAGGCCTCCACTAAAAAAAAGGGATAAGAGTTCAATCCTCATCAGAGTCTTATTCTTTAATTTCAGTCTATATATTTTAATTAATAAATGACCCTAGAGAGTTGCAATAAAAAGCAGCAGTGATTAAGATGAAAGAAGTACTCATCAAAGATCAATTATGATTATGAGAAATTTTAATAACTGAAATCCAAGGGTGCATTGTAATAGTGAAATATGCCTTCTAAAAAGCTAAGTAAAGTATTAAGTAACAGCAATGCAACAGATTCTTTGAAACTTTACAAGAGATAAAATTGATGTTTTTTCATCTAGTATTGGAAACAAAGAAAAAAGTGTTAACTGTTATTTAATATTGGTCCTCCTATATGCCAATGAATGCTGGATATTCTTCTCATGGATGAAGAGGAGACTTGAGGCAACTGAAATGTAGTTCTACAAGAGGATGCACATAATACCTTGAACTGGACTGTGGTAATGAGGAATTTTAAGGAAAATGGAAATAAAAAGCAGACTTATACTTAGAAAGAGATGGTTGAAATGTTTTGCTAAATTCAGTCATATATAGTTTAAAAGTAAAACAAACTCTAACAAATAAAATATTATGTATGTAATTGTAACAACTCTACACCAACTTGGTTATTTTCCCTGAAATTTTACATCAACTCTTCAAGATATATGTCTCGTTATACCCCTCCACCATCAAGTAAACTTGTAATTTGTTTTCAATGAAAATCAAAGTGAATGTTTAGTGGAACACTAAAAAAAAAAAAATGAATTTATTTGACTTTTTAAATTTCTAGAGATGGTAGATGTGATATGATATAATACATATTTATAAATTTTGTTTTTAAAAATAATTTAAAAAGAACAAAAATAATTTAAAAAACAAGAAACTTAAAAAAATGTATTTAACATATGAGGTCAAGTAAAAAAAAAAAAAAATCACCATGTGAAGTGATGTGCATAAAATCCTGGATTTAAAATCTTCAGACGATTTAATGACTAAATGTTAATATTCAGTTTGATGCATGCATCATTTCGTCTTAGAGTGTTATTCGGTTTTCAAGGATTGCCAAGAGCCTTGGCATCATGTTACAATTCTTCCAGTCAAGTAGCCTCTGACTATCTGTCAATCTATTTGAGTTTCCAGCAGTGACCTCTAAACCCCCAAATCCCAATCCTTACCCAAGCTCCAACTTCTCTGTACCAAATCATAACTGCTCCCTGCCAGATATACTAACAGAGAAATTGAGGGCCTTGGAGACAAAAGGCTTTGTTCTTGGTCCACCTTGCTAATTAAAACTCCCTCAGCCTTTTAGTTCTGCTTATGGATGCAGTGCCAGGCAAGTCATTAACTGTTTGTTGTATTCTTGGGTGATGACTGTGCAGCAGATAGTAGAAGGGGAAAGATTGGTAGATGGCATCTGGGTTGGTGACGATGGTGGTGGAGTTGTTTGGTGGAAGGCGCTGCACAGAAGAAAGCTTGAATCCAAATTTTATCCGACCACACCAATCTAAACCAACTGCTACTATCAAGTCTCCCTCTTCCCAGTTGTGTTCCTGATTCGAATAAGGACTATTCAGGTACGGAGGAAGGATGGGCAGTAAAGAGGAAAGGAGGGTCAAGAGCGAGTTGGTTTGTGAATATCTTTCCTTGAGGAAGCTCTCTCGATGATTATGATGATGATGATGGTGGTGGTGATATGACATGAAGTGGAGACCTTTGGAAATAAACGCTACTATTAGTAGCAGGACTTATCGATTGATTCGCATGGTGAGAGTTTTCACTTAAATGCAATGCATATTATACAAGCATAGGATGGTGGTAATGCATGCTTACTAGTTTCAGTAGATTGGTATATTGTTATTGAAAGCACCAAATCCGAGCAGCAAGGATATTTTGAGTCTGTGCTTCTTTATGAGTCCCAGATTTTGCCATGTCTCTCTATATTAACAGAATCCTTTCTTTTTAAGGAATTTATTGCCAAAACATCTCTGTTATCTTGGGTTAATGATTTTGGTTGAAATTAAAGCAAATATGATCTCCTGTAATAAACATGTATATTTTCCATGCTGCTTTTATTGGGCATAGTGCAATTATGAAAACATTCAACCTACTTTATATATCTTTCATTAGTAGTGCCTATGGAGTTCAGTAAACCATTTTCTCTTAAATAACAGCATTTTTTATCCATGGCCCTAAATAAAGCTATAAAACACTTTCAATCTATTTATTAAAACCTTATCTTTCTTTTTTTTATCATGAATCATGTAACCCATTAGGGTCATAGAGGTACCCCATTATCCATTCTTTTTAAGGAATTTATTATCAAAACACCTTTATTATTTTGGGTTAATGATTTTGGATGAAAATTAAAGCAAATACAATCTCCTATAATAGACATTTTTTTTTTAATCATTTCACCCCAAGCAAGGTGGGAATGCCACTAGAACAGAGGGAGCTACAGGGAGTGAAAATGAAAGTGAAAGAGTAGACTGAGAATGAGGAAGATTGAGGGAAGGACAAACAATGAACATGGTTCAAGAAGATAGAAGATTGATATTGCATTTAAATTTTTGAAGATTATAGTTATCAGGGAAGTATAAAAACAGAAGGGTGTTCCACAGTTGGGAAGTGCAAGAAAAGAAACTTTTGCAGTAAAATTGGTGGCTGCATTTAGCTATTGCAACAGTAAAATGGTGGGACCTAGTTGCCAATCTAGTAGTATGCTTAAATTCATGTAGTCAGGGCACTAGGAAAAAAGCTTGTCAGAGCATGTATATTTTTCATGTTGCTTTTATTGAGCACAGATCAATTACTGAAACATTCACCACACTTTATATATCTTTTGTCATTAGTGCCTATGGAGTTAAGTAAAACATTTTCTCTTAAATAATAGCATTTTTTATCCATGGCCCTAAATAAAGCTATAAAACACTTTCAATCTATTTATTAAAATTTTATCTTTCTTTTTTTTTATCACAGTCACCAGATCTGTAACTCCTTAGAGACACCATATCTATTGTAGCCAGAGCAGCAATGGTGTTTCATGGACAAGACAGGCTAACGGAGCCCAAACCTCTCCAGGCTGGTTTGAATTCAGTGTTTTCCTTCTCCTAGACTGATTGTCAGTCAAGACTGTAGGGCACAATTTTTCCTGCTAGTTACCCATAACTGGGAAGAGAAGATGGATTCATACCTTTTTCCAAGGGTATTAGCACACATGTGAATGCAATGAACTTGACTGGAATTCAAACTCAGCTCTTCGATTCCTCAATCCGAGCCACAATCCATTACTTCACCATACCTCCATTTTTCATCAAAATGCATTAAATTTTCAATTACTTACTTTGATGAATATAAGCACATTTTGTTGTGGATCCAGAACTGAAGAACAATGGTACTTATATTTAAACTTTCAGTAAAACCCAGGAAAATTATATGAAAAAAACAAACAAAAAAAATTTGTTAACCATCAATGGTTTTCAACCAAACTTGTAGAAATTAAAGAAAAAATATGTCCATCCTGATTAACAAGACCTATTATTTCATGTAAACTTCTCTATTATGAAGTGCAATTTCCTTCATATTTTTTCAGTCCATTTGTAGTCATTAATCTTGCATATCATATTCTGTCTCTCCCCTTACTGCTTGGCCACTTATTTAGTCTCCATGCCTTAATTATGCTAATTAAGCAGTCATTTACATATCACTACATTCTCACAGCTCAATATTAATATGATGTTCTAAAGTATTGAAATATTCACAGTGACTTGCACAACATCAAGATATATTTTTTCTTCTCTGGTTACCATAATTTTAAGTCAGTGACAAGACTGGGTTCATGCCTTTTTCATAGGTGTTACAATATGTTTTTTTTCCATTGACAACCAGAATTTGATTTTTTTATTGAGTCTTGTGCTCAACTTCTTAACAACTTAATTTTATTCATTTTGCATGAATGAATTCAATCATCGACTTGATTAGTTCATTTCACTTTCTTAAAGCATTGTCAGTTATTGTTCATTTTCGATTATCATTTCTGTCATCTTAATTTATCTTTCATCAATTCAATCATCTTAATTCATCTGTAATCATTTCTTTCATCTTAATCATTGAGCATGTTCAAATTTTGGTTGAGTTTGTTGCACAAATACCTTAGGGAAAGGTATGAATCCAACTCTTCTGACCCCCATCTATGGTTTAAATAGCAGAGAAGCTTGAGCTCTGTAGCCATATAATGCCAAGGAAAACATTATGGAGTTCATATTATGGAATGCCTTTTCCATAAATACTTTCATTTTAATTGTTCGGATGAGCTCTTTGCTATGGTACCTAGACTTTTTTTTAATTTAAGTGAAGTACTAGAGTGGCATCAAGATCACATCAATTTACTGTTGAGATGGCTAGTTGTAAATGGAAATTCTATGCTCACAGTTTCTTTTCTTGAACTTTTTGCTTTTGAAACTCCCTTCCAGCTCCATGCTTTCCAGTAATCTTCCAAAATTTTAAATGCGATGTCAATCCCTATCTACTGTCCTCCTGATTACTCTTCATTTGTTCTTGCTTTTTAGTTATGTTTCTGTTTCTAATTCTTTCACATACAGTGCCCCTTTGTGCCTTAGTGGCTTTACTGCTTTGCTTGAGCTGAATTCAATTAAAAAAAAAGTAAAAAAAATAATAAGTGATTCAAATAAGTTATATTTTCTGTTATACACATCTTGTCTGTATAATGGAACAGTATCCCTTTTCAAAGGTTCTTTGATGGTAAGAGGCTTCATTTAAATATTGGTTCAGTATGATCACTGGTTAAGCAAAGTTGAGCCTAGTCACTATCTTGATGAATGACTGCTTGGGAATACTAGATGTTGCAAGCTTAGACGTGTGGGCGGTATAATGGATAATGTCTTGGAATTGTTTATTGGAGAACTGAGTTTCAATTCCATTTGGGTTTGTTATATTCACTTATACATTTTCATACCTTGGCAAAGATATGAAGCAATCTCTTCTCCCCCAAGCCATGGGTTAATCAGCAAATCATTATTATCTAGTCTGGTACTCCTACTATGTATCTTGAGATTCTTGATAAAATCCAGAGAAGAGAATACAATCAACCAGGCACCTCGTCTCCAGTCATTTTCTCATTGATGTAACATGGCTTCCCTCTGCCTGTTCTACAAATATTTTCATGGTAACTGCCCAGACAATATTTTTTCCTGGTGCCCTGAATGCATGAATTTAAGTGTGCTACTAGATTGGCAACTACGTTTCACCGCTTTACTGTTGAACTAGCTAGATGCAACTGTCATTTCTACTCTAATAGTTTTTTTTCTCACACTTCCCACCTGTGGAACTCACTTCCGATTTCTTGCTTCCCTACTGTAGAATCCGATGATTATACCAGATTTTATTTTGTTACTACTTAAAATTCTCAGAATCCCTCAATCATTCACATATGTAGTCATACCAACATAACAAATTTAGTCTGATGATGCCCCAAAGGATGAAATGCATCACACAAAAACTTTTTCCACTTTGTCATACATTTTCCCCCAATATATATATATATAGATTGAGAAAAAAAAATATTCTTTTAAAATTAATTCTTTGAAAAATTTTGAAGCTACCTGAGTCTCTTTTTTCATGTGCCTGTGTAAATGTGGCAATGTCAACAAAGCACAGTCCAATGAAATTCTAATGGATGAGAAATGTCAAAAAAAGCCTCTCCAGTTTGTCATATTTTTTCTTAATATATATATATATTCGCAACATTAAATATTTAGCAAACCAACCCTCCTGTTTTATCTTGTGTCTTAAATTGTTCTACATTTTCGTTTTTGAAAATTGTATTGAAAGTTTCTTTGATTAGTTCAATTGTTTTTTGACAAATATTGTTCTTTATCAAACATTTGAATTTTTTAAATGGAATTTAACTTCTGCTAATATTAATTGTAGTTGAGCAGGAAGTTTGTTTTTTAAACATTTTCTGTCTTAAATTGCTCTACATTTTTGTTTTTTGAAAATTGTATTGAGTGTTTTTCATTAATTCTTGTTTTACAAAGTTTTTTTTATTGTATTATATATATGCGTGTGTGTGTATGTATAATGCAATAAAAAAACATAGTCGTACATAATATTAGACAGATATTAGTTAATAACACAATAATACTCACACATACACACAGTAAAACAAACCTTCAGATATTGGAGGCCATCTATATTAAAACAAAGCAACCCACACTCAACAAAATTACATTTCAAACTAGTCACAACACATTACATTGCATCTATACATTGGTTGTGTTGTAATACTTTGGTTTATCATGTGGTATGATATCAGAGAACCGCATCTTGAACTTATGATCTGCATTTGCTATTCCGCGACTGTTAGCATCACATAGCAATTTTCTATATCAAAATAACAAAATGTCATCTTTGACGGTGGATATCTTTGTTTCATGTCTGTATAATCACTCTGAGGATGGCCCATGCGAGCCGAAAGCTTAGGATCAAACCATCAAAAATCTTTAACAAACTAAATGAAACCAAAAACCTGAAATCCCCCCCCCCAGGTAATAATTGTATATGCTGTCCAATCCTTTTATGGAGAACATCATTAAATACTACATATTTCCCTGATAAGACAACCTTTAAATCCAAAAATCACCCTTAAAAATTGGGGAACATTTTATACTCCAGTTCTAAAAAAGAAACCTTAAATTCTGAGTGATGTTTGTTGGTAGGCTAACTTCAGCATCAGTGTGATAACCAATAATGTACATGAAAAGATTCATATTACCAAATAAACTGATAATAAAGTAATAAAAACATTTCTACCTTATATATTACTGGCATAACTTCATAATAAATTGCTTATTCAAAGAATATTTCCATATCAATGAAATCAACTTGTATCAATACAAGCTCAGCTGAGAAAATGTAAACATAAGTAATGACTGCATTCACAGCAACCTTTATCTTTTGCTAAATGCTCAATAATCATCATGGTAGTTTTAATTATGGTAGTAATAACATTTAGGATAACAGAGTATCTGGTTCTCATTAAAAATGTATTATCATTTTGGTGTTAAATAATAATACAATTTAGGATTAAATACAACATTTATTTTTCATACAGGAAAAGACGAGGTAGAAGAAGAATTAGTGTTCACAAGTGATCATATGTGATGAAACTTAAACAAAACAATGGTTTTCCTTTAAGGGAACATGTGTAGGAAAAACATGATAGAGAATCAGTTTTGTTAATTTATTTTAAATTTCTAAGGATACGGTAACAACATTTCCAATAACATCATCTTTATATAATCAATAAGCAGTCATTTTATACTACAGGTATAGGATAAATTCATGAAAATTTGCTATATTTTTTGACAATGTCTTATCTAAAGGTCACCTTATACGCGGAAATATAAGGCAATTGTTTGTCTGTCATGAGTTAAAATTAAGCTACCATTATGAATTTTCCAGCACTTATATTTGAAATAAAAGATGACATATTTTAAGTCTCTAGTGTTTAATATGCTAGTGACTTCATTCCATAGTTACAAAAACAAGAGTTAAAAGACGAGATGCTCTTATTTCGATAATTTATTATCAAGCAATGAATTTTTCCTTACAAAAGAACCAAAGAGGAAGAAAAAGGTCAGAATAACTGACAAGTTTTTGTTAATTACAAATTAGCAATTGTCATTGAACTGACAAGCAGGTTTTATATTTATTGTCCCCCTTTCTGTCAAAACACTGAAAACACTATCATCATTTGGCTTCCACCCTTTCTTCTTGCTATCAAGGGATTTTGAAATATGATTTAAATTGAATTAAATTAAATTCTAATCATTAACTTTTCCATTATTTTCTTCTCTTGTGTCCTTTTCTTTCTTAAAATTAATTCATCAAAAACTTTCTACTTTGATGTTTGTTTTTTTTTTCAAAAGATTATTTTTATTGTCAATATTGCTCTGTGTAAGTTTTCATTCATTTTTTAATTTTTTTTTTATCTTTCTTGCATATTCCATTTTAGACAAACCACATAAAATTAATATGAGATTAGGATGGCAGTATCTTTTTCTATGTGCTATTTCCCATCAGGATGTTGGTGATCATGGCTTTCCACAATTTCATATCCTTTGTAGCTCTTGATAATTTTTGTCTTTTTGTTATCTCTCATAAACCTTCAGTATCTGTCTATATTTCTGAGATTATGTACACTATTTATATTATTCAGATTATTGTCCTCATCTTTGTCGCCATATTTATTACAACGTTTCGACCGTTGTATGCTTCTGCCTTCTTCAGGTGGTTGGAATGTTGAACTGCACCCTTTATTTTGCTCACTGGGGTAGACTGTTCTAGTTCCTCGTGCCATGTTTAATGGATGTCAGTTGTCAGTTATCTCTTGTTAATTCCCCTTCTCCAAGTTCTCCAATGCCTTAACCGGGTATTGAACTCACACTCTTTGGGTCCTGTCACTGGATCTAACTAATGCCTTTATCCACTGATTAGGATGGCAGTGTCTTTTTCTATGTGCTATTTCCCATCAGGATATTGCCGACCATGGCTCTCCACAATTTCATATCCTTTGTAACTCTTAATAAATTTTGTCTTTTTGTTATCTCTCCTAAACCCTCCTACCATTCTTTTACTCAAGCTTGCTAGGTAGGTTATGCATTGATTTCCTCTGTCCTCCTTACCTTCAATCTACATGAAGTGCAAAAGAAATGAAGAAATATCTATTTTCAGGATGTTGGCGATCATGGCTCTCCACAATATTCTGTCCTTTGTAGATCTTAATAGATTTTGTCTTCCTACCATCCATTTACTCAAGCTCATTAGATAGGTTTGTGTTGTTTTTCTCTGTCCCTCTTGCCTTCAATCTGTCCTATGAGTATCAAATTTTCCAAGCCCTCTTACCTCATTAACTGCTCTAGAAATTTCAACTGCCTCTTTCTGATGTTAATTATAAGTGTCCTTTTTGTTTCAATTTTCTCTAAAATGTTGTCATTGCTCACATGTTCTTATTTAGGAGTGGGGTAACTTAAAATAAGTTTGGTAATGCTCCCACCTTCTCTTTTAACACATAAGTTCAGGTGGTTAGCATGAAGTATAAAATCTTTATGTTGCAGGAGTCATAGATGGATATAGATGAACAAAAAATTAAAAAATAGAATTCTTTCTGTAAGTTTCATTCATTTTAAAAATTTAAAAAAATCTTTTTTGCATATCAAATTTTAGATAAACCACATAAAATTAGAATGAGATTCGTATGAGCAAAGTGAAATTGGGATAACATGGTCTTCTTCTTGTATAAGCTGTGTCCCTTGAGGACGTTGGGTCTCCACAATTTCCTGTCCTTTATAGCTCTTAATAAATTTTGTTGTTTTGTTATCTCTCCTAAACCATATTCCACCATCCATTTAATCAAGCTCACTAAGTAGGTTATACACAGTTTTCCCTCTGCCACTCTTGTTTTGTGTATGTACTGTGAGTGTTAAATTTTCTAAGCCTTCTTACCACATCATGTGCCCTAGTAGTGACTTGAGGCTGTTTTTACACACAAAGTCTATTTGAAAAACTATTAGTTCTGTTCGATTCTGCTTTGTGTCAAGTATTAAATACATTTTTGTTTCATTTTTTTAAATATAACTTCTTCTTCTTCTATGTGACAGCTCCGTTCAGGACACAGACAATCATGACTCTCCACAATTACCTATTCTTTGTAGCTCTTAATAAATTTTGTCTTTTTGTTATTTCTCCTAAACCTTATTCTACCATCCATTTACTCAAGCTCACTAATAAGGTTATGCATTGTCTTCCTTGCCTTCAATCTCTCCTGTAGATATCAAAGCCTATTTTCTCATTATATACCCTAGAAATGTCAGCTGTTACTTCCTGATGTTAAGTATGTGTCCTTTTGTTTCGCTTTTCTCTAAAACTTCATCGTTGCTCACATGTTCGATCCATGGTATTCTCAGCATCCTTCTGTAGAACCATATTTCTGTTACTTTGTCTGTGAGGAGATTGTCCAGCATTCACTGCCATATAGGAAGACTGATATTATATAACAGTTCAGTAAAAACCTTCAAAATGGAAGCTAGGTGACAGCTAAAAACTACTGGTTGAGTTTTGAGTGGGTTTTTCAGCGTGAGGAAATGGTGGATTTAGAACAGAGAGGAAAGAAATTTAAAGAAAAAGAAAACTGAAAGATAATAATCCTAATAAGAAAGCACATTAACAATCAACAAAGAAAGCTATCTTGTCTCAACACTTGGCATTGGGAGCAGGCGCATATACAGGCGGGGTGGAGAATGTGCCATTTTTGTTGCAAACTAAAGGCAAAGAATAAAAATGAGTACAAATCACGTCGACAGCTTTCCTGCTTTTGTTCTACCTTTCAAACTCTCTCATCTGTCTTGGCTTTTCTTCCTGATTACAATAAACATGGGGAGAAAAAGTGAACGAGTTAATGTGTGACTGCAGATTATTGTACAGGCTTTTGCAATGTGTCAAATTTCATTGACTTCGATGAGTTACGAAAGAGAATAAAAAAACAGTAAGCAGAGTGATAGAAAGCTATAAAGAGATTCGGGGTACAGCCATAATTTCTAAGAGAGAGAGAGAGAGACAAAAATAACTAAAAAAGGACATGGGCTTTTGCTAATATTTTTGTTATTGTTGTTGTTTCGCAATACATTTTCTTGCAGCTAGAGGCTCACTAGCCCTTTAGACAGTGTGTAATAAACATAATTACAATGTGGCTCTGTCTAATCCAATCTTATCCACTGATTATCACTCAATTTGTCCCTTTGATAGATTATTTTTCCTTCTCACTCTCTATCAACATCTTCAGCATCTCCATGCACCCCAATAGCCAGATTTGTTCTTTTAGTATTGTTTTTGTTATCTCTTTAATTAGAGACATCAATTACCATGCAGATTAGTCAAACCCTACCATCTCCAACGGATCGTATTGGATTGGATCGAATTGGAGCGGATCATTTCCACCCTCCCAGTTTTCCTTATTTGAAGTCATTTTCATTTGGTTCATTTTCTTTTGTTCCTTATTTTTAGGGTAGTTACCATTTTTTCCCTTCATTTCTGATTTATCTTCTTCTCTAATTTCTTATTAGACACTGCCTCATTCTTCATAGCTAAGACCAACTTCTCTGTCAAATCACCATTATCATCACATTCCTACCTTTCACTAGCTTCGTTCTCCATTTTCTTTAATCTTTTCTAGTCAACATCATCCTCTTTTCTTTCTGATGCACCATTTTCTTCTCAAATTTCATCATCTTCTCTTTCACCTTATCCTTTTTCTTCCTTTTTGATTGTCTTCTTTATTGTAGGAATTACTTCTTTCTCTTCAATATTTTCTTCCTCTCCAACTTTATAAATTCTTCTTCATCTTCTATTTTGTCTTTTCTATTTCCTTCATTCTTCATCATATTTATTTCTTTTTCTTCATTTTTTTTAATAATATTTATGCTATATTTCTTAGTTTTTACTTTTCATTTCATAATGATTTTTGCCTTATTTTTTCGATTTTTTCTCTCCTGTTTTTTCTTCATTTCCAATGTTTCAGCTCTTTTCTCTTTCCTTTGATCCTTTTTTCATTCTGTTTATCGCTTTTCTTTTTTCGTATCCTTCTTTTTTCAATTTTTTCCTTCATTTTCTTCAGTAACTTTTTTCTCTGTTCTATGTTTTTCTTTTCTCGTGTTCCTTTCTTTATGCATTTTTCTTACATTTTTGCTGTCTTTTTCATTACTATCTTTTTTCTTTTCTACTCATTTTCTCTTTCCTTTCTCTTCATTCTCTTTTCTTTCTTCCTTATTCTCTTATTTTTTTCTCATCATTCTCTGTCTAACTTTTCTCCTCACTCTCTTTTTCCTTACTCTCACTTTTTCTTTCCTCCATTCTCTTTTTCATCAATGTCTCCTTTTCCTTTCAGCTCACTCTCTCATTTTTTATTTTTTCTCATTCTCACTTTTTTCTTCCTTTTCACTGACTCATTTTCCTTCCTTATTATCTTTTCCCTTTTTCTTCACTATCGCATTTTCCTTCCTTCACATCCTCCATTTCTCTTCTCACTCTCTTTTTTATTTTTCCACATTCTCACTTTTTCCTCACTACCCCTTTTTCCTTTTACCTCACTCTCACATTTTCCTTTTGTCTCACTTGCTCTTTTCCTTTTCCTCACCCTCTCTTTATCTTTTTTCCTCACTCACTCACTCCCTTTAAAATCTCTCACCATTCTTCTTCTCTTCACATTTTTGCTCTTTATTATCCTTTCACCTTTCATCCACATTTTTAAAGATTTCCTTTTATTCTTTCTCATCAATCTTTTTCTTCTTACACCTTTTACATTTTGCTCTATTCTCCACCTTTTTATCCCCATCTGTAATATTTCTTTCACATCACTATGACGTGTCAAACAAAATCCCACCTCAATTTCATGCTAATAATTTTTACTAATTGACAAATCGTTCATTAGCTCTTCTTCGTCTTGCAGCTTCATGTTTCTACTTCTTGTTTTTTTTTTCCGTCAGGGAATACAAACGCTTCTATGCCATTACCCTTACCCCAATCCTATCTTGTTATTTCTGCTTGTTGAAAAATCTCCTTGGACATTTTTGCCATAATTTACCATTGACTGGTGTTACTAAGAATAATTATTCCTTCCAGTTCCTGCAGTTTAAATCGAAGTGTTCTTTCCACCACCTTACAATCCTTTATTGATTATTTCATTTTCCATTTTCCGAAGGACAATGCCCGGAACTTGACAAAAAAACACTTTACTTGTTTTAGCTTTTTAGCTTTTTTGCCTTTTCCAGTATTTTTAATTTTAAACTTTTGAATATCTTAATTTGTGTTCACTTTAATTTTGTTTAGAAGGTAAATGTCTTTCAAAGACTGCTATTCAAGATTTTCTTAGCGTCTTTTGTTTTAAATGACCTGAGTCTGAATTGGAGGCATGGTGGAGTAATGATTAGTGGCTTGGATTGAGAAATCGGAGAGCCAAATTCAAATTCTATTCATTACATTCACTTCCATGATACCCTTAGCAAATGTATGAATCTATCTCTTCTCCTTCCGGTTATGCAGGACAAGATTCTTTTAGTATCCTTCTATATTCCTGAGATGAGTTATTATGTACATTATTTACATTATTCAGACTATTGTCCTCATCTTTGTCGCCATATTTATTACAACGTTTCAGCCATTGTATGCTCCGGCCTTCTTCAGGTGGTTGGAATGTTGAACCGAACCCTTTATTTTGCTCACTGGGGTAGACTGTTCTGACATCTATTAAACATGGCATGTGGAACGACAACAGTCTACCCCAGTGAGGGGTAGACTCTTGTCTAAAAAATTTAAAAGTTTAAAGGTTCAATTTGAAATTATCTGAAGCTTACCTGAATCAAAAGACACCTGAAGAAGTCAGAATGACCAAAATGCTGAGAACATAACAAAGATAACAGTTCAAATGTAAATAATTCCAATTGGTTTGATTTTATATCAACAAGAGTCTTTTTAGTATTTAGTCAAATTTCAAAGGGAGGTAAGCAGGCCCTCTTGTCTCAAAAATAAACATTCAAATTCATGGTGTAGGAATCAATTATGACAAATTCAGTATAGGAGATAAGGAAATTGAACATAGAATAGCCTGTTTCACCCAAAACTTTAAGATGCTAAAAAAACAAAACATTAATCTAAGAACTAAAGTTATGTTCTAAAAAAGCCTTGTCAGATTAAGGCATTCATATGAATGTCATGCATAGGGTACAATTCATTCAGAAATATCTAAACTGCCAACTGTATTATTTACAATATTTACATTGTTCAGACTGTTATTTTCATCTTTGTTGCCATATTCATGACGTTTCAGCCGTTGTATGGTCTGGCCTTCTTCAGGTAATTGGAATTTTGAACTGGACACTTTATTTCGTCCACTGGCGTAGATTGTTCTAGTTCCCCTTCTAGATGTCTCCGTTATCTCCCTTTAACTCAACTCTCGAAGTACAGTCCTAACAATCTAAATAGTGTAAATAATTACAATATCTCATCTACACAGATGTCAACTTTATATAGTCACTTTCTCGGATTGATGGTTAAAGGTGACTTCAAGGGAATGTAGGCTGTAGGTTTTAGTGATCATTCTTCTTTGATCCTCATGGACTGAATCACAATGAACTTTGCCAAATAACTAAAACCATGTCAATTGAGGACTTTCAACAGCAGCAATAACTAAAATGGATAGTGCATGTAAGAGAAAATAATGACATAATCAAGACAATGACATTCCACAATACTACAAACAAAAGGTTAAGAAAGAATCCCCCATCACTACTTGAAGGAGTTATAACAGTTACTGGACTTGAGAAACCTATTTGACTTTCCTCTTTTAATAAAATAATTTTTTAATTTTTAACCAAAAGTAACATTGGATATTTGGTCAATGAATGCTGAAAGTTTTCATATAAAGAAGTGGTTAATATTATCATTAACAGTTTATCTGGGCTTGGACACTAATCTATGACACTGGTGAAAGGCACATAACCACTTATGTTATAGGAAAATCTCTTTTTTGGTAAAAGTTGGATTTGCAAGTCTTGGCTTTCCTCATTGGTACAAAATTCAAACCTACAATCGCTGTTTCTAATTCTTCTTCTTTGTGCCATGTCCTTTCAAGATGTTGATAACCATGGGTCTTCACAATTTAATCTCTTAATAAATTTTGTCTTTTTGCTATCTCACTTAAAAGCTGTTCCCCCATCCATTTGTTCAAGGGTGTGAGGGAGGTTAACCATTAATTTTTCTTTCACTCTTGCCTTCAATCTCTCCTGAGAGTATCAAATTTTCCAGGCCCTTTTTCCTCATTATATACCCTAGAAATTTCAACTATCTCTTCCTGATGTTAAATATGCTTTTGTTTCGATTTTCTCTAAAACTTTATCATTGCTCCCATGTTCAGTTCATGGTATTCTCAGCAGCCTTCTGTAGAAACACATTTATGTTGCTTTAAGTCTCTTCTTCATCTATATCAGAGGACTGATATTACATTACAGATAAGAACTCTTCTTTCTTTGTGACAAAATTTTTGTGTTTCTTAATACTTAGCTTAGCTTTTGGAATGCACCATTCTCTATTCTAATGCACCTTTGTATTTCAGTGTTACACATTCTGTCTTTTGTTAAAACACTTCCCAAATATTTCAAATGTTATACTTGTTTGATTTCGGTATCACCAATCAGTAATTTGTATGTTGAGCTGTTCCTTTTGCTGACAACCATGCATTCAGTCTTCTTGCAGTTGATGTTTAGTCCTTTCTTCTCTCTTTCCTTCTCTACCTTCTGTAGGAGTTCTTTTAGTTTCCTTTTTATGTCTGCTTTCAACACTGCATTATCTGATATTGTTAAGATTGTGACCACTAATAATGAATCCTGGTAGGGCTTCTAATTCTTACAACCCTTTCTATTTTTGTGTATTTATTGAATTCATTTTCTATTTGTATGTAGGTGTTTATATATAGGTTCTGGATTATTCTAATATCCTTCCCAAACATGTCAAGTTTGTATTCAAGAACAGCATTGACACATGTTTGTTTCATTTCTATGTCAACACTGTGTCATCTGCTTATCTTATGTTAAGATTGTGATCACTAATAATGTCTCCTGATAGAACTTCTAATTCTCTCAGAATTTCCTCACTGTATAGGTTGAATAAGTCAATTGAGAACACACATGCTTGTCTTACACCCCTTTCTATTTTTTGCATATTTACTGAACTCATTTTCTATCCATATGCAGGCAGTTTGTTCACAGTATAAGTTCTAAGAAGTTATATTCCTATACATTCACTTAGAAGTCATTTTGCATTGAACAACCTAAAATATACTCCTGGAGAGTGACTCATTGCACTTTCTTGGGCAAACATTTTCCATTAACATGATTATATTGAATCAATTGCTAGGTTTGCTGCAAAGAAAATCTGTTTACTGTGTTGTGCTAGACAATTTTTCTTACCAGAATATATCTTAGACATTTACAAGTCTACCATTCATTTATGCCTTGAATATTGGTGTCAGGTGTTTCTGATATGTATTTAGAGGTTCTTGATAAAATACAAAGAGGAATCTGCAATGCTATTGGTCCTGACTTGGCATCATGGCTTCAGTATTTTTCCCACTGCCATAATATAGCTTAACCTTTTCTATAAATATTTTCATGGTAATTCTTCTGATGAACTTTACTCTGTGTTACTGAGAATTTATGAGTTTAAGTGCAGTACTAGATTGGCAGCAAGGTTTAATCATTTTACAATTGAAATAGCTAGATGTAACCATAAGTTCTATGCTAACAGTTTTTTCTCTTACGTTTATCACTTGTGGCACTATCAGCTTCTTGTTTTCCAGTCAACTTTGACCTTTAAAAATTTAAATGCAATGTTAATTGTTATCTTCTCTCTTATTATTATTTTCTTTCCTTAATAATGTTTTCTTTTCTTATATTCTCTCACAGTAATCCCTTGAGTCTTAGTGACTTTATTGCCTTTCTTGGGTGAGATGATTAACATATATATATATATATATATATATTGATACAAAAATTTTTTACTACAGAATTTGTTCAGTTTCACTGTTGATTATTGTCCTTCCAACAAATCTTTCTGAAGAAATGTTGGATGAAAAAGGTCCCTTTAAAAGAATGTGATCCATCACTTTCAAAGCTATGCACACATATTTATAAATGTAAAAGACGATAGGAAAATTTTAATATTAGCCAATGCATTTCATCCAATGTGGACTTTTTCAAGGCAAAAACAAAATGAATTTATTAAACAAAGTAACTAATAATAACAAAACAAAATGTCCTTAGCAACTGGAAGAATTTAGAGAATGCTATTATATTCATACTGTTAACTGAAAATTACATCAAGTACTGTGACGTGTGGTGATATTGTTATTATTGGTGTGTTGATGGATTCAACCATTTTCTTTTGATTTCTTGATACTATTTTGTATGTTTGCTTGGGAGAGTAGTAATTCTGTTAGGACAGGTGAAATAGGGAAAAAGCCTGGGCGTAGATTAATATAATATATTGGAGAAACAAGTAAAAATTCAAAAAAATTAAAAATAAATAAATTCAACCACAATTTTGATTTTAAAAACGCTACACTCATAAAATAAGAAAATAACTCTCTCAGAAGGAAAATCCTTGAGAGTGTCGCCATTGAATATTATCCAAATATTAATCTATACCCCTATTTCACCTTTCCTAACTGGGGTTGTTTATTTCTTTATGATATTTTTAAGAGAAAATTTGTCTTGCTTATAGTTAACATGTATTTGGCTTTTGTAGAAGATATTATTGATTTTATCTGTATGTTCGGTATTGCTATTAGTTACTTTAGAAAGAAATATTA